ACAGAATTTATCTAGAAATTTCATAAAACATGGATGTTGCCTTCACGGGCCCCTTAGAACCCTTATATTGTCTTCTAGAGGTTTTTAATGGTTAATCTACCTATCAATTACCCTTGAAATCGACCAGCTGCGCCTCAAAATTAGCGAAATAAGCTTTTAGGCTTATGGATTTCTTAAAGATACTGCCTTCCAGGCGCCTTTAAAAAATTTGCATTTCCCATAGAAACGTCGAAAATAGCGGAATCCGCTACGTTTTTAATTGCATTAAACCTCAAGTCCTTTCGACCCCGTGGTCAATTGGTTAAGCGCGCGCCCACCACCCACAAGGCCCGAGTTCAATCCCTGCCGAGACAAAACTTTTGCTATTTGGCGAGGAGCTTCGTGAGGGTTCATCTATCACTGTAGTTTACAAGAAATCACCAAATTCCAGCGTTGGACCCAACTTTCGGTGGTCGACGCGCACCGGGTGCCCTCGGATTTCAATAGATGGTGGTGGTAATGTGATACTTTCGGGACGGGGGCTTCTCTCACCCCATGCAGTGGTACTGCAGGATGTGCCGGTCTCGCCACGGGTTTTTCCCTTCGTGTTGCCAGGGCTCGGAAAAGCTTTCTGTTTGTGTTTCCGCGCTTCGACTGGAAATACTCGAGATTCACCTGTGGGGTCTTCCGCCCCTCTCACTTCTCGTAACACTCGACGAGAGACAGGGTCCGGCCAACGACTAGCCGGTCATTTTAATACGGGCGCGTTTTGAGGGGTATTTTGATACGTCTGGCTTTCCAAAAAGACTTTCGGCTTTTTTTCGGGAATCTCCTGTAGCTTTCAAGGGCCGGTTTCTCTGCCATCGAATCTTTGCTAGCTTACCTTCCTCATGAATCTCTGCTAGCATGCCTGTTGAATTTGCCTTTCCTAAAAAATCCCTGCTATTTTCCTGCAATATCCGATTTCTCGAAAAGGTCCTGCCAGCTTACCTTCAAAGATTTCTTCTCCAAGAATCTCTGCTAGCTTTCACGAGCGGATTTTGCTTTCAGAGAATTCCTGCTAGCTTAACTTGTTCGATCTGCTTCCATCAAAAATCACTGCTAGTTTGCCTCGTCGCGATGCTGTCCTAAAAGATCTCTGCTAGCATACCCTCTTGCGTATTTTTTCCAAAAAACCTCTGCTAGTTCACTTAAAGATCGCTTTCCTTAAAACCCCTGCTAGCTTGCCCTCTTACAAGGAGTGCCTTTTGGGTGTCATCGGCAAATCCCTTCGAGACCTAGCTCATTCGATAGAGAATTGAATTCTGAACAACCCCTCGTCGTTCATTTTTGCAGAATGGCTTTTCCTGATTTTATAAAGTTAAAAAACTAGAGTACCAAAATCCCATAGTTCCTCGGTTGCTGTCGCCAGACATGCGCCGAGCAGCCCTAGGTGAAGTGCCCACGGGAGCGCCCTCACCCATCATCGCCGATGGCGCAGCGGTTAACGCATCTGCCTACGAAGTTTCTTTTTGCCTTTGGTTGAAGGTTCGGTTCTTTTATGCGTGTTTACTTTTGCGTTTTGAACCTTCATGATATTTCCACACCTTTTAGGCATTTCTGGATCATGGTGGAGGCATTAGCAACGTTTCCACGTTCGGATAGGACAAGAAATCAGGACTTTTCTCTGGTCAAAATTTTTTCTGGGACTGTGACGGCCAATTTCAATTATTCAGATTCTTAAAACGCTCTGAAAGTCACAAAAGTGTTTTTAAAAAACAAAAAGCAAAAGTATTTACCAATAACGGAATTGAACTAGCAACCCGAAGCAAAAAAAAGTTTGGAAGACCGACGCTCTAGCCACTGCGCCACGCCTAGCGGTGGGAAGAAGGGACCGGAGGGCCACTTCCCCTTGGGGCTCCCTCGGGGCAGCAACGTGCCGACGTGGACGTATAAATTCTCTTTTTAGTTTGTTAATTTTATAAAATCAAAGAAAGGCATTCTGCAAAAACGGACGCCGAGAGGTTGTTCAGAATTCAATTCTCTATCGAATGAGCTAGGTCTCGAAGGGATTTGCCGATGACACTCAAGAGGCACTCCTTGTTAGCTGCTTTCCCCTTCAAAAAATCGAATTGGCATAATTTTTATGCATTTCTTAAGAATTTTTTCCGTCATTTTTCCAGCAATTACCCCTTTATTTAATCAAGGGCCCATTCCTTCAATTTGTATAGGCCCCGGATTAGTAGACATGACTCAAGAATACCCTGGATTTCCGTCTCCATCATTATCGGCTTTTTCCGCCTACAATCCCTACATAATTTTCGGTGCCGCGAACTTTGCGGCGCGTACTTTTGCGGCGCGAACTTTGCGGCGCGAATTTTGCGGCTGCGAACTTTGCGGCGCGAATTTTGCGGCGCGAACTTTGCGGCCGAAGATTGCGGCGCGAACATTGCGGCGCGAACATTGCGGCCGAATTTTGCGGCGCGGTGCTTGTTACTCACATGCCGTTGGTTATTTTTTGCACTGCATCGGAATTTCGTCATAGAAACGTAAGAAACTGTCTTGCGACAGGAGTCACTCGGTTTGGGGGAAAGTAATCGCTACTTCTTCCGCTCTGCGACTAGAAAAAGGCTTCGTGCCACCCGGGGCCTAGTCGCTTCGGATGGGTGCGAGCTCGTACAGGGTTTCGAAATCGGGGCGCCCGAGGAGCGCGTAGCGCCCAGGCGCCCTGATTTCGAAAGAGTGGAGCGGCAGCCCATCCGAAGCGACGGCCCGCCTTGCCTGTCGCCCTCAAGCTTAGGCTTGGCATTGGGTAGGGTTGCAGTTAATTTGTATAGAAGATACAACCATTACAAAAACAGGTGCTAATGCAGTTGGGGGGGGGCAGTCCGAAATTGCTAGTAAAAGGTTACGAGGCGCTCCGCTCAACCTACTTGGTTTCAGCTTAAGCTTAGGCTTGACTTAGCTTTAACGATACCTAGCTTAGGCTTAGGCTTAAGTCTAAGCCCAAGCTAAGCTTATCTTGAGCTTCAAATTGCCTTACGAGATCTAATGTTGTCATTTAGGGGTAGCTTAGGGCTAAGCTTAGCTTGGCTGAAGCTAAGCCCAAGCTGCGTTTGTATGAAGCTAAGCCTAGGCTCAAGCTTAGCTTCGCTTTTCCATAGGATTCGAGTTTAAAAACTGGCATTTGAAGCGTCTTGTAGTCAAAATCCGGGCTGTCCATTAGCACCCAAAACCAAAACTGGCGTTGATTCTGATTCTGAATTTATGAAATTTCTCTGAAATCTGATTCTGAACTCAAAAAATTCTGAATTAAAATTATTTGCATTAATATCTGTTGCGCCGCAAAATTCGGCCGCAAAATTCGCGCCGCAAAGTTCGCGCCGCAAAAGTGCGCGCCGCAAAATTCGGCCGCAATGTTCGCGCCGCAAAGTTCGCGCCGCAAAATTCGCGCCGCAAAGTTCGCGCCGCAAAAGTGATCGCCGCAAAGTTCGGGGAGCCTAATTTTCGTAGAATTTCGGGATTTCTGCTAAAATTCGAGTTTCCGCCGGGCTACTTGCAGAAGAGTCATCAATTTTTGTCTGATAAGCCCGGTTTTGCCCTTTTGCAAGCCCTACTTTCCACACCTATTGACAGGACTCAGCTTCTGTTCTGACGTTTCTGGAGTCTAGGTTGCTCTGGAAGAATTCCGTGATGAAACTTGAAACATCTTATTCATCATGTCGACATTTAAATAGTTTAAAACGGCTTAAGCTTAGACTTAGGCTTGGGCTTAGGCTTAGGCCGCCCGGCTAGGTAGGCAGGCCCGCTTAACGGGGCCTTAGGGTTAGGCTTAGACTTAGGCTAAAGCTTAGGCTTTAAAGGGATAGTCAAGTCAAAACTTCAAGTCATTCTTCCGGGCACCATCCCTTTAAGCCCCAATCTTTGGCCCCAAATAAAAGCCCGACTTTCCGCATCCAATCCAGTAGATGCACGGCAATTCGCACCCCATTCCACCCGCACCTTTCACCCCCGCAAAAAGGAGCCATTGGTAGCCCCCCGGACAGAGTGGCAGCAGGCTATGTGTGGATGTGGACGGGCCACTTGGTAGCGCGCGTTAATTTCCCTTTGGAGGCTAATTTGATCGGGGGGCTTTTCCTTCGTTGTCCTCTTTTCCCGGGTCTACCACCCTCTCACATCTTCTGCAAGGCCGGCCGGCCGGTTGGGCCCATATTTTTGGGGCCCAAAATTGGGTCTTCCCCGTAGTTTAGTGGGGTTCGAATTTTGAGGGTAGCTGGGATAGTCTTTTTGGCTTACTTTAGGCTTAGGTTTAGGCTTATTAGGCTTAGGCTTAGGCTTATTAGGCTTAGGCTTGGGCTTATTAGGCTTAGGCTTAGGCTTTGGCTTATTAGGCTTAGGCTTAGGCTTAGGCTTAGGGTTAGGGTTAGGCTTAGGCTTATTAGGCTTAAGCTTAGGCTGAGGTTTAGGTTAGGCCTAGGTTTAGGCTTAGGCCTAATCCCACACAAAATCAAGCCAATTTCCAATTAAATAATTCAATTACCCGGATGTCCGCCTCCTACTCGAGACAAACAATCCGGCTTGCAAGAGATTGCCCGGCTTCTCCGGCTCCTTAGAAAAAGGGAATTCAGAGGGAGCGTCCCCTCCGTCAAAATACCCAATTTCCCTACGCCGCTCTGGAACTTCCCCCCTAGACCTCCGCGGAGCGGTCACCAGATTTCTTTCATGCGTGTTCGGCTTAGTCTTAGACTTAGATTTAGGCTTAGGTTTAGCTTAGGCTTAGACTTGAGGCTTAAGCTTGACAAAATTCAAATTTGCTCCCTTAACATTCAAAAATAAATGCCTTTGTAAAGTTTCTGGTCCATGGTTTTTCGTAAGCCAATTTTTACCGTATTTCTGAAAGTGCTAGGTTTTAAATATACCCAAAAAATTAGAGCCGCTAAAATTCGAATAAAACTGCGGATTTTCCGTTGAAACTTTTTCGTATAATCGCCGAACCTTCGAAACGCTTTAAATCTTGACGTGATTTAAACGCTTTTTCCAGGATGGTCTCGACACGATCGCTGTCATGGACGTGCGTATTGGTGCAGCTCGTCCTGTCGTGTGCCTGCCTACTCGGCTCGTTGGCCATCATCGCCGCCATTCTTCAGAGCAAATCCGTGTACCCGGAACGGGAGACGCCTAGGTAACACCTTAAAAGCCACTTCTTCCCGGAATTACAAAGCCGTTATCGAGCTTAAAACCTACTGAAAGTCTCGAAAATTACTTCTAATTTCAGCGCTGAATGGTGGCTGCTCTCCGCGCTGTCATTGTTCATGATCGGCGCGTCGATATTGGCCATGTTCGGGCTGGCGGCGAGGAATACGCACCTCATCTTGCCGCATATATTTTTATTGGTAGGTTTTCTGGTTCAGGTTTCAGGGCTTAGGCTTAGGTTAGGCTTAGGCTTAGGCTTAGGCTTAGGTTAGGCTTAGGCTTGGGCTTAGGCTTAGCTAGGCTCAAAGATCTACCTTTTCTGCCTCTACCACCCCTTTAAGGCTTCCCGACCCATTTCCAATTTAATGAGAGTAGATGTGCCATTGGCGGCTCTTTCCCGGATAGGCCCCGGGCAGGGCAGAAACCGTTAATTGGTGTGTTGGTGTACTAATCCACCCTTCCCCCATCTAGCCCGTCACCCCTAGGTTCCATTATACACCCTTGGTTACGGCGGTAACCAACCCCTAGGCGCCGGTGTTTATCATCCTAAAATGAGAGCGTTTTTGTTAATTCATTGATTTGTATATATTTATATCTAAAAATTGACACTATCGCTTTTTTTTTAACTTATACCAAAAAAATACCCCTATTACCAGCATTAAGGCCCAACCTTGAGCCAAATTTCGCGCTTCATCCCCCGTTAAAGGCCGATGAAGCGTTTTTCGACAAACCGTGGCTTGGCGCAGTAGGTAGCGTGGCTGCCTGGGAATCATAGTGCCCGGGTTCGATTCCCCGGACCTACATTTTTGCTTTTCCTGCAAAAATTCAATGGAGGTTTTCCCTACTTCAGTTTGTCTTTTCAGGGTCTCTGCTCGGTGTTCGTCGGCTGGTGCCTCTACACCGTCGTGTCAAACCCGGATCCGGCAGATTTCAACTGGTGAGTGGTTTGGGTTTAGGCTTAGGCTTAGGTTAGGCTTAGGTTTATGCTTAGGTTAGGCTTAGGCTTAAGCTTAGGCTTCATCTAACTTGTGATTTTTCAGGTGGATAAGCCTGTGCTCCCTCTCGACGGCCGAATTCTTCTTGGGCATCTCCTTGGCGCTGGAGACGAAGATCGCCGTCTCCGTTTCCTGACCCTGAGATGTCAGGTGAGGTTTTTGAGGTGATACCGTCCCTTTAAAAAATTGAACTTACCGCTAGACTCCCGGGAAAAAGCCAATCGCTGCGGGGCCTTTATGCTGTACAAATTCTTGAGAAATCCAGCTTCTTCCAGGTGCCCCTCCACACCGAAGATGAGCACCGCGGACGTACAGACGGGGACGACGCATCCGGCTACGGTAAGCGGGGATGTCAAAATACCGACAATGAAAATCCCGACGGCGATAGTCCGTACGGCGATTTCGGGTTTTAGCTCTCGATATTTTAGCTGTCGGTATTTCGGTTGTTCGGATGTTAGCCTGTCGGAATTTAGCCTATCAGGCTTTTAGCTTCGATTTTACCGTCGGTATTTTTACTGTCCGGGTATTGGCCTGTCGGCATTTTGTCCTATCTGGATTGTGACTAGCGGGATTTCCGATGACGTAATTTCCCCCGTCGGTATTTTTTCCTGTCGGGATTATCTTTGGCAGGGCTCCCCTGTCAGGTTTTGGGATGTCCGGATCTGGTCTATAAACATTTCGGCTGTCGGTATTTTAGCTTGTTGGGATAATGGCCCGAAGTATAGCAGTAGGGATCCCCTTAAACTGAAAGTTTCCACATTCCCCCCCCCCTTCTATGCCTCGTTTTAGGCCTTCTCGATCCTGGCCGCCGAGCTCTTCTACCTGGTCGCCGGCGCCATCTGGATCGGCTCGCTCAGCCGGTCGACGCCCGACGTCGTCTACCAGCTCCGCGAATTCTACGCCCCGCTGTCAGTTTTCCCGCAGTTTGCCGGGTAATCTAGTCGAGAGCCTTAAATACCTTGTCGATTTTCAGTTGGGTATGCACGGGCCTGATTCTGCTCATCCTCGTCCTCATCATATCATTATCCTGCGTGTTCATAGGCCTCGTACGGAGTGTGCCCCGCGTCATCTACCACCATTGCTTTTTGCTGGTGGGTTGTGGAAGAACCCTAAAGATATGTTAGGCTAGAAAAAGGGTAAAAATAGGTTTAAAAGCAGAAAAAAATTGTAAATGTTTACGGAATCTCCCGAAACTTCTTTAAGCTATAAACAAGCAAAAAAATTATTAGAAAATGGCAGACTTGTTTTAATGTGCTTTAACAAGCTATAAGCTAGCCTGGCGCTATTTTAACTTTTAAAAAGGTAATAATCAAACCAGAAAAATAAGCGTTTAAAAGCGTTTTAAAAAATGTTGGCGGAGGCCCCCGGAAGTTGTTTATAACTGAAAATATAAGAATAAAATTAGAAAAATTCAAAAACGTTAGAAAACCATTATGTTGTCTAAAAACGTAATTGAAGCCTTACATGTACCTGAAATAAGCCTAGAAAAATCAAAATGCACGCCAAAACAAATGCCAAAGTTTAATAAGTCCGCTGCCTCTTGACCAATTTTAGCCACTTTTTCGAGCTATAAAACCGTAATTATCGCGTTTCAGAAGCAATTCGTAACATAACCGACTTTTCAGTACGCGCAATGGCCGATGACGCTGATGATCCTGGTGGGCGGGGTCGTCGACTGGGGCCCATTCCACGTGGCCGTCATGTTGCTCATCTACTTTTCGGGTCTCGCCGGCTTTGCCCACCTATACCACTACGTTACGTGGATTCCCACTTTTGGCGTGGCCATCATTCATTCGGCCTGAAATCGTTATTTAAAAACCTAACGCGCAATTCTGTGCGTTAATTTTACTTGTCCACCCTCAAGATATACTGGTATATAGAAAAAAAGAAACCCTTTTCTTATTCGAACCCTTTTAAAACCTAAAAACCGGAAGTACGCTCTAAAAACAAAGATACAACCCTTCCCCAAACACGGCCCGATCTCTTCAACCTCCAACTCACTTATCGCCTCATTGATGCTCATTTTTCACGCATTTATTTAAAGTATCAATAAAAACTTCAATATTGTGTACTTAAAGCTCAACACCGCTCGAAAAAATCTCTTTACTCCGCACCAGCAAAATCGGGATCGGGGAGAAACACAGTTTACTTGATGATATCACACGTATCGGCGTAGAGGTGATGGTAACGAGAAAATATAAGGCACATCACGAGAAAAGTTGAGAACGTGTAAAGCTTGGGGGAAAAGGAAAAGCCTTGGCGGCAATCACATCGTACGTTAAGGGGCGAGTTACGTTAATGACGTTTACGTAAGTACGCGACGCTACGTACAAGACGCTTACGTGCGCAACCACGTTTCGCTACGTTAATTTTCTGAAGTCGAAATGCTAGGCAAGTTGGTGGTGAAAACCCATAGACGTTGTACCAAATGAAATCTCAAGTGGATGGGGGAAATTGAAAAATTGCATATCGACTAGATTGGTAGGAGTTGAAGCTTAAAAGTATCAAAAAAAAACCAGAAAATCGTTAAACTACAAACTCCGACCATCAAAAAAATTGAGAAATCACACGTATTATAGCGAATTTTACTTGTAATTGTGCACTGCACGCGTGAGGTGTACTGAGGAGTTGAAGGGAGTGAGAATTCGGGGAGAGACAACGCGGCTAAGGCGCCTAGTGACGGGGGGTTTTAGTGCTTCGTATTCACAGATAGGAGGGGGGAAAACACGGTTCGATGGTTGTGGCTACTGCCAGACGGGCAGTATACCCCGAACCGAGGGTGGACTAGAATTTATAGGGCTTGCTACAAAGTATTGCGATAGATAAGGGTGTGGGTGCGGAAAAGCCGGCTGAAATTTTGTAAAATTAATGCTATTCAATTTCAGGATTTCCACGAATTTCCCGCGCCCACCTCGCGGCAATTCACCGGGCGTTCAGGGGTGATGGGGGAAAATTTGCATAGCAAGCCAGAATTGGGAGAGGCGCCTAGAAAATTTAGGACCGACGGCGGGTGCCGAAACGCGACTAGTTGATGATCATCTCCTCAGGCTCTTCCCGGATGTCGAAGAGCTGCGGTGACGGAGGCCTGGAGGCGACGGCGTGACGTTTCCGCGACGACGCCTTGATGACCGGCCGAATGCCGGCGTTTTGCGGGCTGGTGAGGTGGCGGAGGAGCTGGAAATTAAGTAATTAAATTTAAATTAAAAAAAAATTTTTTCAATATCCTCACGCCGATACCAAGGGATGATTTTATAATTATCTAATTCTATTATTACAATTTATTATTTTCACATTAAATTTATTTTTTTTCATCCCTTTTTAGAACAAATACCATGTTTCTATATTAAGGAGGGTTTTTTTCCCACCCCGAATTATAAGTAAGATATATCCACAGTTGAAGTTATTTTCAACCCTGTTTAAACTAATTTATTTCCTTGCCACGTGGCCCAGAACGGCTGACCGATGACCACCCAGCCCCCGAAAATCGCGCCATATTTGCCCGAAGGCGCGATAAGGCGGCAATGTTGACAAAAAGTTGTTTGGGAAATTTGGGTGATTGCTGCGGGGAACAAAACAAATTTCAATCTTTGTAAAGTGGGCCATATATTTCAGGCGGCGCGTGGAAAGTTCAAAATTTCATTGGGGTTTTATCGCTTTAAGGTGATGGGCCCGGTTTCATCACTTCCAGGCCTTTTTGGAAGCTTCGAGAGAAGTAACAGGAACTAAGGAAAACCCGTTGTTTGCCCCAAACAGCCATCGGCCATCCATCAGGACGAAAAGTGGGGCGCAATTTTCGCGGGAGCGGGGATCCGGTGGTGATTAATAAAAAGCGGTAAGACACACCTTCATCTCGATCTCGGCAATATCCCGGGTGCGCGATCGGGGCCGCTCGGCGTGCATTGATTTCCGTTTGTGGTGTCGCTGTTCGTTGAGTTGTATCGCTGAGCATCTGCAAAAATAGGGATAAAAACGCTTATTGAAAAGGAATTTAATAATCTACCGACTAGTTTTTCATATGAAAAAGCAGCGTGTAAAACTAGATACTACAAAAAAAGTGACGGCGCCCTCCATAAGGGCAACCCCATCAATTTTCCGTCAACAACCGGCTTTATCACCCGTGCATATCACAACGCTCGATATCGACCAAGTGCATCCACTCAGCCGTGATAACTAACCGAATATATCCGTAATAAAACTCACTTTTGTTGCTCGTCGCCAACGTAGCCGATCACGCAGAGAATCGTGATCCAGAAGAGGTTCACGCACCATTGATGTAACCTATGGATGAGCGCGCCGGCAATCATGTTTCGCACTGCCGTGTTGTGGCCGCCGCCCATCTGGAAATCAACATTTAGCAAAGAACTCTTCGACAGTTCCATCAGTCCGATCCCTCGAACAAAAATGATTTATTTTCTCTCTACCCCACCGGGGCTGGCTACAAGAATACAATGGGTGGCAAAAATGAGGGTGCTGCTGGAGGAGGCGCGCGAAAACAAGCCCTTTATCAAACTTAGATCTACGTTGTACTGAACGAGGGTGAAAACAGCGCCCACCTCGCAGATGCGATGGAGCGGATCGGAATCGTATACGGGAAGTGAAAATCGAGTTTTTCTATATATTTCTGGCAGGTGTTTTGAAAGAGATAGTAAAAAAATAGAATTTTGCACAGCAAGTACAAGAAACAAAACAATGTTTGATCCGGTTACGCGAGGCTACGTGCGACACCAATTGACAAAAACCGTTCAGAGGAGCAAACGGACTTGGAAAGATAAAAATTTTCAAGAAAAACAAATTGTTTTGCACAAACTCGAAACGCTCTTCATCCTATATCAGCTTCGCCAAAAATTTGCTGAGGGCAGTACTGTGGCGAGGGACGCGATAACCGGGCTGACATTTTGATTGGTCAGGGCAAAAGAATGAGCGGAAAACCACCCAACAGCCGAACTGCAATAAAACGGGCCATGATTTGGCCAATTTCGGGGACGGAATGCGTTCGGAATCGGGAATATTGCGAGTAGGCGTGGGGACCGGGGCACAAAGGGTGTTTTTGTTTACAAACTGCTCGCCTCGCCGGTTATATTTGATCAGCGAGGGGTCAATGGGATGGGATGGGTGAAAAGAACTGTGGTTTCTAAAATAACAGATGCTGGGGCATCAGTTTTGATACTGGCGGGCTGGAGTTTGAGGCCGGGGTATAAACTTTATAGAACAGGAAAGCACAGAAGTGTGCCTAGGTCAAAATTGCGCACTAATTTCTAGATTCATGATAGATTGATAATTTGTTGTTTTTTATAAAATAAAAGAATTAGTGGAAAAGTTATATCAAAAAGTACAGAAAATTAGGTTTAAGTTTTTAAAATTATAGAAGAGGCACAATTGAGACTCCGGGCGCGGGTTTCGGACAGATCGCTATTTTAATGGCTTTTGGGATAATAAACGAGTGCTAAAATTAGGTAGATAAAAAGTTGTAAAAAGTAATGAGTAAATTTAAGTTTCAAAAATGGTCGAAAAGTCAACGTTGACGTTCCATAAGCTCTCAGAGACTGCCAAAGCCAAAAATCGAAAAAATCTCGCCAAAATCGAAATTTTTCGATAACAATCTGAAGCTACAGGCTCGTGGTACTCACCGTGTCGGCGGCTATGAACTCGATATGTTCCAAAACGTCGTGATGACTCGTTGACGGTTCCATTGTGCAGTACATCTGGTCGTTATGGTCGAAGTAGTAAGGGGTAAGGTAAGTCAGCTTTAAATATCCAGTAGTCTTCAGAAGCTTGTTGTGCTCGAGAGCCTTCACAACTGCGGGCTGCTGGTATATGTGTGTGTTGGGGGTGGGGGCTCTGCCGGCCTTGGCTCCGCCCCTCCCTAATATTGAGGGCGGAGAAGGCGGCGACGCGTCCACCGCCCCGCGACCCCGGGCTATCCACGTGAACATCCCGGGTGCACACGGTACCCAGAGAAGGCAACCCGGGGTAGCCGCGGCAGACTGATGCAATGCACGGCTTCATCAAGATGATCCGAGATCTTTTTTGTACGACGCGTGCAGAGCCGGGGCAGGCGAGCAGAGGGTGAACAATGTGTGCAAATTGTGCTGGTGATTGGGCGGTGAAGAGCAGAGTTTTGGGGCTATTTTGGTGTCATGGAATCACTAAGGTATCCGAGAGCTATAGTTTGTAGTTTTGGTACCTTGAAGCTATTCCCCGGCTTATTTTTGGTGAATTTAGTGGATATAGTCTGTAGTTTTCACCATAGATTTTTATTTAGTTTCCGGATCGGCCTTGAACGGCATACTCCACATTGTTTTGGTGATAGGTTGTAGCTTCAAGCTTGTAATGGCTTTTAGGTCGCTTCCGGGTTCGATTTTTTTGAGAAGACGTCTACACCGAAGTTAGGTAGTTGATCTTAAGCTTCTCCCGGTATCCATAAATTTATTGTAAGAGTCTCGGCGCGATTTTGGATGGCTTCCGGTTCAATTTTTCCAAAAATGGGCGTAGCAGTAGTTTAGCTCAGCTTCTACCTGATTCATCAAATTCTTCTGATTGCTGCCCTTGTAGGCGAGCGATGATTCTGCCTGATGACTCATTTTAGCGAGCACATTTTTTGATGTCATTGGAGCATTAGAGCGTATGCTTTTTACGGTAAAAAGGTACCGTAACCGCAACCACACCCTCTGACTGCCTGATGCAACTGGCAACTAATGGGCGAATATTTCGTGCTGGTCGAGGCAAGCAGAGGCGCTGTCATTTGGTCTAAAGAACGGTCAGCAGCCGCACGGGAGTTTCCCCTTGCAGGGCTGATGCAATTCCGGGCTTCACCATGTAGTGGGGTTTGTTCACGTGGGGAGCACGCAGGTTTAGGCTTCTGCTGAATATTTTGAGCCTCAGGAGTCTGGGCTGGTATTGTAAAGTTGGCAGCATAAATTGCCTGGAGTTGTTCCCCAAGTTTGAATCGCTGTGGCGCAAAGATTGACAACTTCACACCACGATTCGTTCCAACCAGCCCTTCAGCTACAAGGCTAAACAAGCGTAATCACGCTGATCACAACATGATCCAGTACAACAAGCTTGGCACGCGTCCCGCCGCTCGCTCTTTGTCACCAGCCGGCATCTGTGCGCCGCGTAGTTTGTCGGGGCTGGCGGGTTGTGTTTGTTGCCGTGTTTTTTGTTGGTCCACGTGGGGGTGGCTGCGGTGATGTGAGAGCGGCGCATCTACCGGGCTTTCCCCGGAGTTTTCGGTTGTTTCGGAGGGGGCAAAGTGCACGGGCTAGAGCGGGAGCACACTCCAGGTAGTCCCGCAACGTCAGCGTGCTCAGTGAACGAGGCTGGTTGAGTGGTGGTGGTGGGGATCTGGGGATGGGTGTTCGGTGAAGTGGGTAATCCGGATGTTCTCTTTTTTGGCGCGTTGGTTTGAGTGCTAGAAAGCGGTAGAAAACTTCTAGGGGTAGTTTTAAGCTTGAAAGTGTGCGAGAAGTCAGGTAAAACTTATAAAGTAGTCGCTCAGAAGAGATTTATTGAGCTTTATCCCTAGGGTAGGTAGATTGCGAGGCTGTGGGCCGGTAATACATCATTTTCCCAATTCCCGTATCAAATTTTGATCCTCACCACTCAAAGATCTCGACGAAAAGCCCGAAATCGCTACGTCAAAAGCACACCCAGGGACTGGTGCTCTCCCAAGATGCCAGCCACCACCACCACAACCCACCCCGACCACCTTGTCGTTCGCCGCATTGTTCTCGCCGCGAATCAATTTCCCTCCTCTCAAATAAACACACCCGCCGATTTCCACTTCCCAATCATTTATTCGGGCGCGGTAGGAGATCCACGTGTCGAGCAGATGCGCAGATCCACAACAAAGGATGTGACTGCGCGGTGGCGGGTGGAAATTTTGAACCGAGTTTTTTGTAGAGAGTCGCAGGCCTGGTGACTGGCTGGCCGGCTGCTGAGCAGACATTTGAGGATATAGATTTTGAATTTTTGGAATCGCACAAACTCCCGGCTGAAAAACTCGGAACATAGAGAAACCTCACGTTTCTTTTGTGAACTGCTAGAAAAACTAGAGGAGTTCGATTTGAATGGCGCGTCAAAGCTTCAGACAATACACCTCTGAAAGCTTCGAGTTTTAGCGCTAGTGCCGCTGGTCCTTTGCTAGCAGTTCAGACGGTTCGGAAAGCTCGAGTTTATCTGAAGCTGGCTTTAATTCTAGCTTTAGCTGTTTTCGCCACAACCTTTTCAAGAGCATCAGCTTGCCGCTTCCGGAAGAGGAAAAACTAGCTATATTAAACTTTCCTGAAAATCTGGACCTCTTAGAAAACTCGACATCAACTTTAGCTCTAATCCTTCAACCCAGCCCCACTTCAAACACAACCTCAGCCATCAAAAAAAACCATTCCAATCACCACCAAATTTCGGCCCCCGTGACTCCGCGGAGCAGGGCGTACTTTGCCCGGGCGAGGGTGGCAGAGCGAAATGTTTCCCGTGTCCGCGTCTCGCTCTTCCTGAAGGGAGGCAAAGAACAGGAGCAGGGCAAGGGAGCGAGGGATGGGGGAGCGGACAGCCCTGCTAAAACGTGGCCAAGCACCGGGCTAGCACGTGAATTAGCTCGGGCAAATGCCGGGTTCTCTGGTCTCGAGGTCTCGTCGATCAGGCTGCTCATTTTGCATATTGATAGTGTGCGCGGGGAGATGTGGAGATGGGGCCGGAAGTGGCTTTGATGACCATTGTCTGACTGATAAGATTTTAAAGGAAGCTGGAAGTGGCTTGCCGTAGCGTAAGGTAACGTAGCGTTTTCTAACTAGCTCTAAATGGCTAGTTGAAGCTTTTGGAAATAGGAAAACCTACGCCAAGCTCCTATCAAGTTTTGTACACTGTTGTTCAGCGACATAGTCTACTTGGCGTAGCGTAACGTAGACCTAAAGGGTTTTTAGAATTTTTAAAGTTCCAATTGACAACTAAACAGCAATTGTTTCTGTAATCGACCCCACTCCGTCTGGCTCGTGCCCATCGCTCATTCCATAGATCCTGGTCAAGAACTGGGAAAGCACAGGCACGCGTACTAATCGCTCCCCAAAAAAACGACCAGTCAGGCTTCCGCCCAGGGGTCAGCGAAACAAGAAAACAGCGCTTGGCCTCGCCGGCGAGACCATTTTGTCCCCGTGACGGCTTGATCCTGAGGACAGACAGTGGTTGGGCTTTGGTTAGGAGTTCAAAAGTAGTGAGAGGTAGGGTTAGGCTTAGCTTGAAGCTCAGGCTCAGGCTCAGGCTCAGGCTTCAGCTCCAGCTAGACTTAAGCTGCCCCACAAGAGCTGTAGGCCATTTAAGTCAAAAACCCCACTCCTAGCTACAACAAAATCCAGGTAGCTTAAAATGCGTTGGAACTGATTCGAAAATTCACTCCAAAGTCCGATCAACTCCTCCTTACGGATACGTCACGTAAAGTACAACAACTTGTCGAGCCAACTGTCACCAGTTGTGTTTCGTAGTCCATGGCCGTTCGGGTTCTACAACTCCGTGATAGCCGGTTGTTTATTCGCACCCGGCCGGCCTCGGGGGCAATGTTGCCGACAATGCACCCGGGCTGGGGTTTAGAGTACGATCGTACGCGTGATAACGGATGATCTGGGTGTACCAGAGGTTTGGAATTGTATAGAAATGCCATAGGATCGTTACATATACCTTAATATACCTATCGATACCCAATTAAATGCCAATACCGCCTCCAGATACCTCAATTTTGTACCCAATTAAAGACCCCTTTAGTGGGGGTCACCAGTCTTTGCACAATCTTTGTAGTCCGAGGTTGGGCTAATTGCGGGTGTGTGGGGTGTATCGGGCACGTGGATGCCGAATATGCCTTGAGGGGCATTGATGCCCCGGAGGCACAGGATCGTCGGCTGTATCCATTGACCTCACTACGTCACAAGGGTGCAGGTCTGGTCTGGGCACCCATCGCTGCTGGCTTGGGTAGGGGCAAGGCCGCCCGCGCAACCTTATTTTTGAGTTTTTAGGTATCGTTATGGGCATTAAGGAGCTTAAGGGTCCATCAATATCGGGAAGTGAGTATTAAGGTATGGGTTGTAAGGTACTGTTTTTAGGTCATACCTTATGTAAATTTTACATATTTTTTCCGATGAACCGTAGCTAGAGGACTTTAAGTATCGTGGGAAGTATCTAAGAGGTTGTAAAAATCTTGATAAGCTATCCGTAAGGCAGGCTATCCGTTACGGAGTGCCCTATGGAATGTGTGGTCCGAGTGCAAGTCTTACCTTACGAAAATTCAGCTTTTGTTTTCCGTTACATGAGTTTGGTGATATTCTAGGTATCGTAGGGTACATTACGACAATTTAAAGATGCTGAGAAGCAAGATAATTTACTGTCTTGAAGGTTTTTCAGGTCCCTACCGCACGCAAATTAAGCGCGAGGTTTTTCGGCACGTGCATCTTATTACGCAAGGTATCGTAAGTTATCCTAAAGGGGTTTTAAAGGCGCTTTGAACCCAGGGCAAAGGTCTGTTATTTGGCGTGGTTTGAAGTAATCTACTCTAAAAATAGATGTCACCCTGAAAACCGCCCTTTGTCCCCTAGAAAACTATAAATTTACCAGCCGTGTTGTTCCGGAAAGTACGACGAGTCGAAATGTCCCCCCCCCATTTCCCTGGAACGTTCCAGATCCCCTTGAAATTACAGTCAAACCAAAA